TTGATTTTTCATGTTTCTTCTAATCCTGCAAAGATTGATTACTTCTACTAATGGCCTGATTCGATGGGTTTTTATGTGAAATTTGCATACACAATGTTACACAGCACTTCTTCTACAACGCCCGGTATTTCACCTCCTCTCTAGAGGGCTTCACGGCTTGTTTGGAAATCAAGCATTCCCATAAACACTAAATTCTTGATTTGGCAGTTTTACAAGATAGGCTTCTTACTCGTTCGGAACTTCGTAAACGTGGTGTGGTTAGTGGGCCGTACAATTTAACATGTCCTCTTTTTTTCCTCTCTCAAGAAACTTCTCATTATCTTTTATTTAGTTGTCTGTTCTCTATTCCCATTTGACGTTAGGTTTTGGCTTGGACCAAGATTAATGGTAATTCGGTTGAGCTTTCTCCAATTTACCGCTTGAATCTTTGTTATTTGGAACTTATGGCTTGCTAGGAACACAAATCTTTTTAAGGGAGAATTTTTAGTTGATAAGGATCTCGTTAGGATGGTGAGACTTTCCACATGGGACTGGTTTGGTACACATGGATCCTTTCCCTTAATCTTTAAGACATTGAAGTGTATGATTTACTGTTGAGTTAGGTTGCTTTTGTTTTGTTATTCCTTCGCTTTCCTTCTTTTATTGGATTGAGTATCTCTAATACTCTTTTTAATACATCCTGTTTACTTAAAAAAAGGCTGAATAAATAATACTAAACTCAATAGTAGTGTTTCGTTAATAAAAAAGATCCGAACAAATGAGTTGGTTGATACAAATAAGTTCATATTACTAGCTTGAACTATAAAGTTTACAATCATTAAATAGCAATTAACTCAATTATTAAATAGTGACATACTAACATTTATTTATTATTATCATTCATCTAGCTAATTTGATGGTTCAAAGATAACCATTTTCCTTGCAACATTCAATTGTATCCTCAATCATTTTTTCAATACTATACTTGAACTCAAATCCAGCATCCATGAGTTTCTTTGATGTTAAATGTGGAATCTTAGGACCTTTAGCTCCCATAAGAACTCTATAATAGAGGAAAATAAATGGTAGAATAATATTAGTAACAATGAAAGAAATATCACATAAATATAAATCTCATGATCATGAAGAACTTCATATGTAGAACTCACTTGGATTTTGGAATTTGAACTTCAGGATACTTTGAAGAAATAATGTTAATTAATTCATCAATAGTTGCAGTGAATGCTGAGCAATTATATCTCCCTTTTGGATTAGAATGTTCAAGTAGGAATATATGTGCTTGTGCCACATCATCAACATGCACCATTTGAAGACGAGAGATGTTAAATGAATTCTTGTCAACATCACCTGAATTTAACATTCATTTCTTAATTTTCTTTTAACTCAAATCAGAATATTGAATATATTGCCATCTATTGTGTTTAAGGGTGTTTAAAATCAAACTACGAAATACAAAATCGTTAACTGAATCAAATTAAATTAAAATCGCAAAAAATCGCATTTAGTTCAGATGTGTTTAGATTATTTTTTTAACAAAACTACACGGTTTGATTCGGTTTGCGATTTGTATTTTGGAAACTGAACCTAACTGAACAAAACCGTATTATGTTACACTGCAAACTTCACTTAACCCACATCCAACGCAAATTCAAAGTTATTGTGTCTTAACCTTATGATTACAAATGATTTTCTCTTCCTCACACTTAAGGTTTACGTTTAAGTCTTTTCAAATATCTCCTAACAGTATTGTGACTTCTTATCATCTTCTTTTCCACGTACATCTCCCCTCTTCTTCTCTAGTATCTCATCTCTTATGTTCTTTATTTTTCATGTCTTATTTTTATTATACAACTCTCTCTCTTCCAATTACGTTTTTAATGCACATTTTCTTCTATAAGCTCTTTTCTCTTCTGCTCTTTTTTTTTTCATTTTCTTTAATCTTTTATTTCTTATGTTTGTTTATTTCATTATAATATTTTTGATATTGTTTTTATACTATTATTTTATGTTTTTTATTCAATTTTTCTGTAATATTTTTATTTTTTTATATTAAATAAAAAGTTATTGTCTAAATATGATGAATTTTGTTGTTATTTAACGCAAAATGACTAAATACAAAACTATATTGTCATTTATATGTGTATGTATAGTTAAATAATTTTTTTTATAAAAAAAACCAAACAACCAAATCAATCCAAACTTCATTGATTTGTTTCTATTCGATTCAGTTTTATTTTTAAAATTAAACTGAACCAAACAAAACTGCACACTTGCGATTCAAATGATATTTTCCATTAAAACCACCTAAACTGCATCACAAACTCTCCTAATCATGTCCTCCGCACATTTGAAGAAAGAGTCATATACATACAAAACATCTATTTTCATGAAGTTTTGAATAGTCAAATATGTATTTATTGAAATATTGAAAATCATAATGTTCATACAGACATTAATAAGTTATGTACTCATCATCAGTATGATGTCTACTTGTGAAATTGTCCAATCCACAAGAAAAAATATTTAAAAATTCTAAAAGTAACTATTAAATTAAATTTTAATATTATAACAAAATTCATCATTATTTATGCGAAATTTAAAATCATTTTAACAAAATTTAATATTAAAAATAAAAAATATGAAAATTTTTAAAATGATAAAAATTTAATCATATTTTATTCAAGTTAAAACTAGAGGAATTTTGAATATATTTTGTCAGTATTTTGTTGACACTTGATTTTTTGAAAACAGTTGTAAATGATTTCTTAAAATTTTTAAATAAACAAATTAATCCTTTAATTTTTTGAATTTTACAATTAAATCTATAAAAAAAAATTTAAATTTTAAATTTGGCTAAAAAATATTACGATGAATAATTATAATACTTTATTTTAGCAACAAAAAAAAATAATTATAAGAGAAATTCAATTAAAACATTTGAACTAATTAAAATTTTAAAATTCCTTATAATTAAAATTTTAACACTTTTAAATCAACCTATTAGCAAAGTCTTAAATCATATTAAAAACAATATAAAAAAATACTTTTTTTTAATGGATTGGCTCCCTTACCTAGAGTTAAGTTTATTTTGATCATTAGGTTTAACACATCTACTGAGCTCCTCATGAACGCCTCTAATCATAATATATTTATAATGATTATATGAAACACATCTTGACAATCGAATCAATATTGGACTCGAATAATTTATTCGGGCCTGAATAAGGGATGGTCCATCATGAAGTAGACTTTGGCATAATTGAGCCAGGGGTTAAGAAAGGTTTTAGGCGTCTAAAATAGGTTAGTATCCCGAAATAAGCTTGGGTGTCTAAAGGGGTATAGTCGCTCGAAGGGTATGGTGAATCATGTTAGCCCGCTCCACTTTGGAGCATGGTTCCAAGATCATATCCATTTTTTCGTCTGTTATAGACAAGTTAAGATGTATCATGAAGCAGACCACTCTTTGATTGCAAGTGTAATGCGTCTCAAAATTCTCCACTCTTTAACGCTTTATTGTACTGGTCGCCATTGATAAATTTAGATTTTCTAAAAAAGAACGGGAAAAAAAGAGAGTCAGTATCACTACTAGAGTCGGAGGTGCTCTCGTTACTCCTAGACATTCCTACTTTGATGGACATATAGTTAATTGTTCCATCAACCCATTTGTCGTTGTTTGTGCAATACTCGTATAATTTTATGAGTTCCATGTTATTGGAAGGCATAATCGCATTACCCCTCTCGTCTAACTCTCAACTAATTGACATTTATTGAAAAGCAAAGGTTGAAGAAAGAAAGAAAGTAATTATATCGAAAAAATATTGAAATTGGAGGAATATTGAATATCTTGCCATATCTCAAGCTTGAGAGACTCGTTCCATGCTTCTCTTGAGGGACTCGCCCCATATTTCGCTTGAGGGAGTCATATTGTGCTTCCCTAGAGGGACTCACCTCCATGCTTCGCTGGGGGAATTCTCAAAATCTCATAATGGTGATACATTGGCATTAAACCACTTCTTCCTTTCCAAATCCTCATGTTTGAGGGATTATGAACTGGAATAATTTATCTAGGTCTGAATAAGGGATGCTTTGTGAAGAAGTAGCCTATGACATAACGGAGTCATGTACTAGGAAAGAGTTTAAGTGCCCAAAGTGTTCAAAGGATTATATTTCTAAAGGGTATTTTGAGCTGCCAGACAAAGTTGGGCCCACCATTCATGACTTGTTCCCTTACCACATGTGGAATAATGGTGAGGAAATGTGGATATAGAGGAGAAATCTCGTCTTTATCCTAAGTGGGTAAAAGAGTTTCGTTATCTCCCATTTCTAACAGTGGGATGATACGAATATATATTAGTGCCTCAATCTCCAAGATCATACAATAGGTAATTCGAGAGAGAAAATGTAGGATCTCTAAACACCATTACGCGAACAACTCTTGTTTTTTTTTAATTATGGTACTTTAGCATGTAAAAACATCATATATTTGAAATCTTGAATTTATATTCAAAATTTCATTGAATGAAAAATATGAACGAGTTGACAATATATACTAATATCTTTCATGTATGAGAAATTATCACGAGACTAGAAAATAGTAATAATAACAACAACAACAAAAAAAAACACTTACCAAATAAGAAAGGCATTGAACCATGAATTGAGCTTGGAAGCTTAGAGCAAATGAAAGGTCCAATAACAAAAGTTGGCAAGAGAGTGACAATATCCAATCCATGTTCTTTTCCAAATTCAAGAACAGCTTTCTCAGTTAGTGTCTTAGAAACTGCATATGACCAACCAAATGGCTTCAAATTTCTTAGAAAATTCACATCACTCCAATAACTTTCATCCAATACATCTTCTTCTCTCTCTTGAAAAGAAACAGCTGAAGCACTTGAAGTATAAACAACTCTCTTCACTGTGTTCGAATTTTTGCAAGCTCTTAGAATTCCTAAAGCTCCATCAATGGTTCTTTTTGTCACTATTTCTTCCGGTTCGTTCACCTCAAAATCAACCGGAGTGGCAGTGTGAAATATTCCATCACACCCTTCAATTGCTGCAGTAAAACTTTCTGGAATGCTAAGATCAGCACTGAAAATTTTTAGCTTTTGAGATGCACCTGGAAGGTTTGTGAGGAAGCTAACATCTTTCTTTTGCCCTGCAATTTACATAACTAAATGAACAACATAACAATAACAACAACTAACAAACAAAAATCACATGTAACCCTATACCTGGATCAGGTCTAACAGTGGTATTAACGGTGTAACCATTTTGAAGGAGAGTCTTGATGATCCATGAACCAATAAAACCAGTACCTCCTGTTACACAAACTCTTCCTTTTCCTTCTGCCATTATCACACTTTTCTTGCAAAATATTTTTCAAACTTTATTTTTATATTGGTTAGTTCTGTATGAATGTTGATGGTCCTACAAATTTACTAGCTGCATTTATTATTAGCAGGTCACGTAGGGACGTGAGGTCCATACAAATTGTTCACGCATGTTCTTTCATCTTTTTGTCAAAAAGCATATACTTACAACAAAATGTTGAAATTTCATATAATGATATGGCTGCAAGTGAAACATCACGTTCAATGATATATTATTATTTCATTGTGGATACCTAACACCACAATGAGCTCCAAGCCATAGAGTTGGGAGGCAAAACAAGTGGTATTTAGTCTGGACCAATGAATTTTTGTCCACTATATTGAGATGTTATTATTATTTAACTTAAATTATTTAGTTTTATTGCGGTATTATTTTGCTTTTTCGTTTTAATGTCGTGTTTGTTCAGTTTAAATTGATATATTAGTTTCGATTCAGTGCATATTCAATCAATAATTTTGACACCGTTAATGCCGTTGATTCGGAGACATGAATATTTCGAGTATTTAAATTTTTTCATATTTGTAGGCTCTGCAATATTTGTAGAAATTTTGCCGTTATAAATTTTTAACGTTGGTGTTGAAAGTTTTTTCACTGATTCATCCTTTTTAGTTTATAGTAATTTTGAATTTGTATTATTAGATGTACTCTATCAATTTGAATGAATGAATGTCATTTTTATCCAAAAAATATTTGGATTAATGAGATAAATGATCGATCATTTATTAATAATTTTTTATTAAATTTTAATTCTTAATTATTTAATATTTTGATATTAAATAATATATTTGTAATTAATCTAAATAATTGATTCTGTTTTATATTCATCATCTTCTTCATCTTCAAAACTCATATTTCAAAAAGTAAAAGGAAGGAAAAAATTCAAATTAAGAAAAAAAACTCAAATTTTAAAAAGAAAATTAAGAATATTTCATGAAGAAATTCTAATAGTAAAAAAAATAAAAGATGAAGAAACATTTTAGATTTTTTTTTCAAAATCTGTGTTTTTATTTCTTTTATTAACTTTAAGATATCTAAAAACTCAAATATATAAACATCAAATATTAAATTTCAGATCTGGATCTTTTTCAAAAGCAAATAAATTTTTTATCTAGGCTTAAAGAAATGTGATGAATATACGAAAAAAAATACATAAAGAAACATATTTTGTCACAAGAATGTCATCTACATTTATTAATGAAACTGAACCACATTTTGAATTGTTTCAGATTATTTTTCTTCTTGTAATTTTATGATTTTGTTAATGATTGGTGTTGGTCGATAATGAATATGATGACTATTTGGTAATGTTGAATTTGTTGATGTTATTTCTTTAATATAGTGTTTAACATTAATAAAATAAAATAAAATTATAATACAAATTATTTTTAAGGCATAGAGATTAATTTTGGAGCTTTCACATATAACAATGGTGTGGAAAAGAAAAGGATTCTGCAGAAAACATTTTCATGATACAGGGATCTCAAGAGTATCAAGGTCAGTTAGGCATTACTATGCAAAGATAAATTATAGTTGCCACAAAATAAACTTTATCGGTTCTAATTTCACTATTATAAATAATTATTTTATAATAATATTTTTACTTCATCAAATAAAAAATTAATAAATTTTATTTTTATTTCTTTAAAAATAGTGTCTTTCTTTTTATTTTAATTTTGTTAAATTATCAAATAATCTATTCCATCCGTTTCTCTAATAACCGAGAGATATGACACCTAGATTTAACTATAAAATAATTCCTTCACTATGGTTGTTCCATCTTCATAAACATCATTTTTTTGGATTAATTGTAAGACGAGAAATTTCTTTTCTTATGTATTGTTGTTCTTCTAACACCAACATTTAACAAACTATTTATCTGATCTTGCAAACTTTATCATATGATGGTGTTATTGTTGTTGTTTCCACCTCTTGTTAATGTTGAATGGTGAAAGAAACCATTGTTATATTTTGGAATAACTTCTCAATGTTGTTAGTCAAAGAAAACCTTTTATAATATATTGGTTTCTTTGATTGACAATATTGATAAATTTATTCCTAATTATACTGCAATGTTGTTGTTTCACAAAACAACATATTGAAAAGATTGTTTAGAATATAGTCCTTTTGTTTGATTATTGTAACACACACAAAAATTATGAATGATAAAATAAATTAAAAAATAAAACAATACATGTTACTTTCAATTTTTTCTATTCACCGTTTTATTTGTAAGAAAAATAATCTATTACCTCAGTGGATTTAAACACCGACGGGAAAGGTCCCTATTTTATTTTATTTTTTAGTTAAAAAAGAAAAAAACCTTTACCTTGGCTCTTTGTCAAAACTGAATGGTAAAATAAGTGAATTTTATTGATTTTCTTTGTCTTCCATCAACAAATATTTGTCATCTATTTATTGAGTATCAACTTTCAAGCACTACCAACACATTAATCCAAAAAAAAACATTAGTGTTCCGCGTGAAACCGTCCCGACGACCATTCAGAACGCTAACGCCACACTATATATCTAAATCAGAAACGTTATGAATATCAAACATTGATAATGAAACCATTAGAATTGAAAAAAGTGAAACTTAAAGAAAAATGGAATCAGTCTTTATAGTGGATTGCATGACCATAAAAATAGTATTTGTAGAAGGTTTGTGTTCTTTACATAATCTCTTGTCATTATACGTAATAAATTAGTTTCCTTATCAAACATTTGTAATTGTTATATATCATAATCAATTGAATGAAAGGTCATTGAGAATATCCTGCAATCTACGCATATGCAACAACTTCCAGCATTTGATCTTCATAAAAATTCACGAGGATGATGATGAAGACGTTTCAAGAGTTTTCTTCAAAGTTATACTTGTAGGTTTAAACAAAATTGATGTAATGTAATAAAAATTTGTATTTCAATAAAAATTTGATATATGAGTATCTGTAAACAAAATAATCTATATAAATACACATTTGACCTTAGTTATTTGTATAACTAATAGGTAAAGTTCTGTGTTTTTATATAAAATAAGAAATTGCAATTGTTGAGATTCGAACTCATGTGTAGTACGTTTAATCCTTCGATTTTACAAAAACCAAGAATTAAAGTGGAAACTTTTTATGACACCTTTCGTTACATCGCCTTTGAAAACCAAGGTAAAATCCATTTTTCAACCGAGGTAAAATGTGTTTTTTGTAGTAGTGCTTATACATAAGATATCTTTAAACCTAATGTTATTACCTTTTTGCATAACTAACCATGAAATATATATATATATATATATATATATATATATATATATATATATATATATATATATATATATATATATATATATATATATATATATATATATATATATATATATATATATATATATATATATATATATCGTTCAGGAAATAGAATTGAATGCAGTTGATGACCGCTTGATCTTGAAGTAGTAACACTGATCTTTGATACTGTGGCGCGAGGTGGATCTGTAAGGTTAACACTCAAACGCACAAGTAAATTCAAAATTCAAGATGAGTTTATTGAAAAGTGAAGATTAGAGAATGTACCTTGCCTTCCGTGTGAACTGGCTTATATACATTGGATGAAGTGGAATGGATTTGAGATGAATTGGGAATTAACCCTTTGGGCTCTTAGTCAGCTTAGAACAATTGCCCCCGAGGCTTTGTAGGGCATTAAGAGCCGGGGAAGACTTAAGTAATTTTTTGCTGGACCCTAAGATGTTGTTTGGTTGGAAATGGAACTGAATAACTTAAAGTCAGTTGAAAAAGTAATGGAAGTTATAAGCATTAAATGTTTTTTATCCCCGAAGCATTTTTCTATCTACTCCTAGCACGTCACCCTAGGCATGCAGGTCAGTGAATGACTCCCCTACTTATGGAACTTGAGTATCTCTGGTTTTTTTAGTTTATTGTTGGAATGGTGTTTTCACAGCCCTTGCATATGTACCTTGTCTTTGATCTGGTTCGTTGATTTTTGACCACTTCTTTCAAAAATGGGTTTTTCCTTTTGATTTCCTTTTCATTCTCATGCTAATTTTGAAATATATCTTCTCTAAGGACCTTTGGGAATGGCTCTCTTTCTCTCACTTTGAATCTCCCACTGTGTTTCTCTTCCCTTTTACAAGTACATTTCTGCCTCATTATTTGTGGGAACTGGTTTGCTTTATGAAATATCTATAGGCCAACCCTTTTCTTTAGAGGTCTGTTGTTGCTAACCTATTTTATTTTTTTATACTACAAATATCGGATTTGCTTACTCGGGTACTATATTTTCTTCTTGTCATTGCCGCGAAGCTGATAAGTTTGAAGTAAGATATTCTTTAGATTGGGGAATCGTTGAGATCTTTGAGGACAAGAGAGTGTGTGGAAAAATTGAAGGGTGTTATATTCCCTTCTATGAATGCATCTTCAAGAAGTTGGGTATTCAACTCCTACTAACCACTTTAAAAAATGAGGTGTTAGATCATCTTCGCATTTCTCCTTCACAGCTTCATCCATATGCTTGGATTTTTGTGAGAGTTTTTCAATACTAGTACGAGTACCAAGGAGACATGGGTTTGGCCTCTAAGAACCTTTTCTTCGATCTCTTTGAGGTTAACCCTGCCTCTAAGGGGGGCGACAATTACAGACTTGTTTCTCTCTATCGTGTAAACAACCAAGTCTTTAGTGTCTATACGGAGTTTTGCAAGGATTTCAAGGAGGATTACTTCTTTCCTACCCCTCTATCACTACAAGCTCATGAAGAATTCTATCTCATCACGTCCTCTTTTGAAGAGTCGGATGCCTATGCTAATTGAAAAAGGCGATTTTGGTACCCAGACCACTACACAAAGAAGGCAAAATATTATTAAATCTCATGTGAAACTCTTACAGATGCGAAGAGAACCGTGAAGGAGACTCTGTTAGCCTTCTCTAATTTTGAGACATGTTATCGGATTATTG